CATGAAGGTCTAGTCAGAGACATATTAGAGGCAGAAACAGGAGTTAGGAGGGGTAGAGGTAGTCCTAGATTAGGTTACTGTTCGCAAATAGTCAAGGATGTGGGATGTTCTACTATAGTTTTAGGGAAATGCGAAGATTAGCTCAGGATAGGAAAGAGTAGAGGTGCGTTTCGAACCAGTCTTAGGACTGGCGACTTTATGATGATGACGTAACTGATATTCAGTATAGGTTTGATATTATCTAACCATGTACATGTATATTGTACCTTTAATTTCTATCTATTCTAAATCTTAACATTGAATTACATAATCAGGTAAAATAATAACGAAAAAAATAATAATAGCAGAATTAATAAAAAAAATGGATAATGTACGAAATTCATAAAAACCTGTTAAACTAAAACCGATGGAGTATGAATAAAATAATTTGTACCATAATTTGAACCTAGATAGAATGTGCTTACTTTGTTGACGTAATATAGTAATATTGTTAGATTAGGGCCTACAGGAGAATTAGTCCGTACAGGTCGAGATAGTGTATATAAAAAGTTAAATTAGTTCTTGTTTTCAGTTATCCATAGAAGCATATTATGGACCTTATATACGCGATTATGCATTGCTCTATATAAAACTATGTTAAAAACAAAAATAAGTCAACCGTATTGTTCGCTGAAAAATGCATACGCGTCTGCGTGTACTGGTTTAAGCATGAAATTTGGGATAATTACCAGATAGCCTTTAAGTTTATTTATAACACAGGATAAATGTGTTACGAGTCAAATACCAAATTCAGATTAGATGTCGAACACGACAAGTATTATTATAAAATTGAGCAAATTAGTAAATTTTTTATATAAGGTGTACGTAGTTGACTTCCAATAGGTGAAATTTCATAATGTAGCTTTAAAAATAAAACTACAGACATGGGAAAATTTTTAAATGATATACAGTTTTTAATCTGTGTATTAGGTAGTTCTAATCAGAGATGTAATTTATTTGAAATACTTGCATTTAAAATGCAAATACAAAATAAAAAATACCCACTTTTATCTTGCATTCAAATACTTTTTTGAGAAAAGCTATTTTTTGTCATGTTAGCGCGGAAAGCTCGTTTTGCATGCTATGAAATAGGGAAGAAATGGCCTCTTTTCAGCCGTGTTTTAGTTGGGAGGAAATGAAAATAGTTTTTGAGCGCATGCGCAGAAATCAGTTGTTCAATGACAATGTCTTTCTAACCTCTAAATCATTTACTCTTATTTCGCCAAATATCAATTTAATGACGAGCTTTTCGAACAAACACGACAATAAATAGTATACGTACCTCTGTCTGAAAAGTAGATGCTTCAGACTACGTGTGAGTTGCAACTTTCAGACCTCCATACGTAATGTACTATTAACGTTACAGATACCTTTCATAGAATGTTTATTTTCCACAGTAACTGTTTAAATTTTTTCACGGCAATCTTATCATCATAGGTTTATCGTGAAAACGGAATTTATTCTGTGATGTTACACAATCTGTCACTATACCGCAGCAAACTAAAATACCTGTAAGTTGTTAGGTATGATGTAGTGTCTTTAAGACGTTTGAAATACAAGTTTCCTTGCCTCAAATGTGTTACTTTTAAATTCTTCGCTTCAGGAGGTCATATAGTTAAATGAAACTCCCTTTATTAGGAAAACACAATAAGGGTAAACATACATACAATTTAGACATCTTTTTAGAAGTGAGTTAGTTTAATATGAAATATTATTCTGAAAATTCATTTCTGAATTTTGTACCCACTACACGCTACCTCAAATCAATGAGTAGTTTAGTGGTCAGAACATTGATGCGTAAAGCCAAAGGTCCTGAGTTCGATTCCCGGCGGGGGCGTGACAGCAGTAACAGTTTTTCCCTCATTGATTTGAGGTAGCGTGTAGTGGGTAAAAAAAATGCAGAAAAGGATAGTTTCAATACGCCAAAATAACATCGACCTTTTTCTATACTTACCATCGTTCATGGTGCATAACACTTATTCTTGTTCTTTAACACTTAACCCTTGATGTTTAGCCCTTTATACATGCTAATTAGAGAATGCCTATCCCATCATAACCTACCTAACTTTAGGGTACGTCCTCTAAACAGTGAACTTCCTTTTGGGACGACAATTTTTGGAGTTTTAGAATTCTTTATTCTTTTACCAAAGTTAGTAAAACAGAATATTTATTTATTACCCTTTTGTCCCTTTGTCACAGACTTATTAGTCAAAGACTGTTCGATATTAACATACAGTTTACATCCAGCTTGAAGGACCATGTTGGTGACAGGATTTTGGAAATTGGAGATTACTTCCAACATCCAAGCTTACAGACTTTATCCCTTTATATAATAACAGTGTAGATGCAATTTATAGGAAGTTAGATATCGCAATTCGAAGGATATTATTAGGGACGAATCTGAGATAAAGGATTTTTTTTTGATGTCATGATTGGTTTTCTTTTGTTAGATATTTATATTTATCTAAAAACCAAATGCACGTTTCGTTACCTTGACATCATCCTCAGTCTCTGATGTTACCTTTTCCCGGGAACAGTTTATCCCAAAGAGAAAAGGAATCAACCTCATGCGAGCGAACTAACTGCTCCATAACTCAAATAAATTCTACAGCATAGACAGGGATATCAGGTGATCGAGAGTTTCGGCTTTTATGAGATTGTATCTTTTTGTTAATTAATCGATTGAAAAGGTAAAAAAACAATTGCTGTGATTTCTCAGTTAAAAAAATTTGTAGGTACATCATAGTCAGTCTTGGATAAGTCCGTCGTCTCTAAAGAATTTAATTTGTGGACTTTAATTAGTCTTGAATTTTTATGTTCTCAAAAAATCTAAAATTTTCTACCCTCTAATTATTTATCGCATACCATGAATAGGGAGGGTTAGAAATGAATAGGTTTTAGAAAGAATAGGAGAACAGAAGACTCTAAGGAAATCAATAAAAAATAGGCGAGATAGGTTGGTAGGACACCTTCTCAGGCTTGAAGGTCTAATTAGAGACATATTACAGGTAGAAACAGAAGGAGTAGAGCTAGGTCTAGATTACTGTTTTCTCAAATGGTTAAGGATGTGGGTTTTTATAGTTTTGGGGAAATGCGAAGATTAGCTCATGATAGGAACGAGTGGAGGTGCGTGTCTAACCAGTCTTAGGACTGACGTCCTTATGATGATAATAATGATAATGAATTATTTGTCCTTTTATCAATATAATACTTTAAATAGTTTTTTGTTATAAATTGTCTAACTTTTTTTATCAACTGCAATCTTTCAATCTATATGCATTTTCGTAAAGGTCTACATGATGGCCCCCGCACCCAACGGGGAATTTTATTTGAATTATAGTGTATGAAAATTGTCAAAATAATCAAATTTTAACCCCTAAACTTCTTATGGGGGTGAGACTGCCGCAAACTTTTTATAGGTTTTTACTCAGGTGACCACCCTCTTTCGATCCCCCTAACTTCACCCCCAAATGGGGTGGGGGGCCATCATCTAACCCCCATAACTTTTTATGGGNTCAAATTTTAACCCCTAAACTTCTTATGGGGGTGAGACTGCCGCAAACTTTTTATAGGTTTTTACTCAGGTGACCACCCTCTTTCGATCCCCCTAACTTCACCCCCAAATGGGGTGGGGGGCCATCATCTAACCCCCATAACTTTTTATGGGGGTGAGACCACCTCGAACTTTTTATGGTACAGTGGTGGTCAGGTCATCTAGACCTTTACCCTAATTTTTTTTATCAACTGAAATATTTCAATCTACATGCATTTTTATTTTACAAATCAGTATGCGCCTACGTTTTACGTTTTTAGTTGCTAAGATTCCAAACTGTTCTAAAAATCCAATATTTTTTCCAAAAGTTTTGATTTTTCTTTTATTAACATTTCCTAGACTTTAACCATTGATTGTTCTACAAGAGTTGGATAAGTAGATGTGTGGACATTACTTTCTCGTTGTACCTTGTATTTAATCGTGGTAGTGTATGAACACAATACATAATGATTCGGAAAACGACTGTCACAATTCATGCTACTTATTCTTCGAACATTCGCGGCTAGCCATGATCTGAAGTGCTCATGGTGCGCAGCGTGATAGTGTATGTGCATGCATGTTCGCGTGAATGTGGATAAAAAGGCAATACATCTAGTGAGCCCTGATAGTCGACTGCAATTGTTCATTTGTGGTGAAAATGATGAAGGGGTTCACGGGAACAATTCTGGTTTATTTGTCTTTCTTAATATCACAAATAAACAAAAGTAAGTCTATTTTATTTTTACTTTTTTTTAATCGCTTTTTCAAATTTTATTCAATAAAATTTACAACTGGAATAAAATGTAGAATTTTACAAAATTATTTTTTTGTAATTTAAAACTTTTGCAGAGTTTGATAACGTTATAAGACACAAATGTTTATTGCAATAATAAAAATGAAACAAAAACAATTAGATATAAAAATAACATTTGAACGTAATCCAAAGCCTACTATTATTACCTGTGACTATTATTATTATTGAAGTACGTGATGAATGAAACAAAAGTTAATAAAACAATTGCTGTGTGTTAATGATGTTAATAAGGAAATTTGAAATCGGCATAATACCTATGCAGTTATTAATAGCTAATGAATTTTATATTTTATGTCTCATTTTACCTACTTCTTTACTTAAAAGCACATTTCTAATGACATGTAGTTATTGTTAATTAAGAGCGATTTTACAATAATTAATGTTGCCTAGTAACAGAAAAAATGGTAAACGTAAATGTACCTATGCAATCATCTCATTGAACAGTTCGAATAGAGTCCCTAACAGTTTCCTGTTTTTAAAAAGTCCAAAAAACATAATTATTAAACAAATTCTTAAATCATTTTTAGACATAATTTAAATAACAAATATAATATCACTTTTACAGGAGTGTTCCGATTATTGATGTTTTTTCAACAAATTTTTATATCAATATTTTTATGTATTTATTTTCAAAAATAATTTGGATTTATCAGAGTTCTGAAAATAATTGAATTTAAAATGTTGATCCTTATCTTAATTGACGTTTTCAAAAGTATATTTAGCAGTATTTAAAATTATAAGCGGAGTTATGTATTAATTGTTAATGTTTTCTTTAACCACTTCGATACGCGTTTAACCATGTTCTTGTTGATAAATAATGTGTTTTATAGACGTAAGTGATATTGCACTTATTATTGTAGATTTGGCTTTTCGCATTTCACAACTTTATCACATTAAATTGGACTAATTATTGTAACAATGATAATGGTTATGTTTATACCTACTCGAACTTTTCACAGTATTTCAAATTCGTCATCATTCCTAGTTGGAACGTTTGAACAATAGAATATAATAAGTATAATGATATTTTATTATAATAATGACACAAACGATGCAAACTACATCGAGCCCCAGTTATGTAATTTTTGTAATTGTATAAGTATGGGTTATGAAGAGAGATCCCCGAAAAACGTTACCAATTTTATTTTGCATGATACAAAAGCACGGCAGGTTGTCGTAACATGTTCATTTTTTACAGTAGTGCAAGCCAATTTAAACTTGTTTAATGTAACAAATCACTACAGGGTCAAGCTTGTTTAATTCTAGTACGAGATTGAAAACCAATTTTGGAACTAGCATGCCAAATGCCTGTTTTGTCATTTCGGCCCAAGTTTGATTGGCAAGCTTGGTCCACGACTGGATAGAACCATGATTTTATGAACAATAGTAACCCATGATTAAATAGCCAATTGACTGATGAACAATATTAGCCCAAAATTGGGTACATAGTCTATATTAGGCCAGCCATTGGTGAACAATATTAACTCAAGTTTAGGCAGCTAATATTACACCAAAACATGATGAACAAAATTAATTCATGTTCATCTTTGTCGCTTTCCAATACTTCGTTGCCCAGTATTAGATGTAGCTAGGTTTTAATATTGACAAACTCATACTTGATTGCCCAGTATTGGACCAAACTTGGCGAAAAGTTAATGTACCTAGCCTTGGCATTTGAAGATTACCCAAACTTGGGACTAGTATTGGCAAGCCATTACTTGACTGTCCCAGTATTGGACCAAATTTGGCGAAAAGTTAATGTACCTAGCCTTGGCATTTGAAGATTGTCCAAACTTTGGGTCAATATTGACCAGCTTATGCTTGACTTCCTACTGAGGGTTCAGGTTTGTGCCTGTCGTCAAGTCCGGCATTTCCTACATGAGTGGAAACTAATTGTAAGAAATTGTTTCAGCTTTACAATTTTGAATGTTTTAAATTTTAGAGGGTGATTCTATTTTCTTTTTAAATCGTCGGCTATTATCATTCAATGTGAGTCTAGATTGTTATCGTGATATAGGCATACGTTGTCTTCAAACTAAAGAACTATTGTAATGTGAGACAATTGTTCTTCGTTATTCTACGTATTACGAATTTTTAACACGTAGCATCCATAAGAAATCGAAGGTTTACTGATTGTTTGGATTGTATGGATTGATGATGGACAATAACTGCAGGTGTTTTTTCGATTCATGTATCTACTGTGTGATATGTAACCTGGGCTAGTTTTAGACTTTAGACCAATAGTGACAAGCCTATCGATTCAAAATTTTGGCTCCTTTTGGCCAATGTTCAAATTTGGATGTTCAAAATTCTCTCTTTACAGTGGTTCAAGACAATTCTAATTTGTATGACATAAAAGCACAGCAGATTGTTATAAAGTGACATGTCTTTTGACGAAAATTTTGTCTTTAGGTACAAAGCTTGTTTAAGGTAAATGTCATGTTAAACCAAAAGGCGAAACGTCGATTATTAGTTGTTGTAATAAAAATACCTATTGGATATCACTTGTTCTAGTCGTCATTTTTTTTTAAGCATTGGGATTTAATATTAGTTTGAGTTGTGTATTGCTTAGCGGCGATGATGAATGGTTTTCTTTTACATTAATTGTATTAGTCAGCTTAGGCGTGCTGAAAAAGCTGTTCCTTGAGTAACAAAATTTTTCAGTATGTCACCGGATTATGAACGAAGATTGGGATATTTTGCTGACGTACTAACGAGAGCTACAAATGAACCGGTCACTTGAGTTCAATTTCTAAAAATAAATTTCGTTAACAGATAATTACATATTATTTTATTGCGTAGGTAGCTATTACTACAAAATAATAATAATAATAAATAGGAGTGCAGATAAACATAAAAAGTACCTACTATTTTATGTGACTATAATATGGCGTCTGCTGTTCTCCATATTGAATTTCTTATGACGTCATCGTTAACATAAATAAAGACATAATATCGATACTTGTTTGCTGTGTAGATGATTAATTCAACAGTTAGCCATTGATTTATATTAATCCAATAAACCTACTTAATATATATCTCCAAATTTATTGAGAGATAACCCTAATTTTTTAGTACCTACTTAACCTACAGCGGAAGTCAAGTGTTTCGTATTTGTTAATATTGGAGTCGATTAGTAACTGACAGGATGACAGGGAAGCCTTAGAGTAGTGCATTATTTGATTAGCCTTCAGCTTAAGGAATATCTTAACTTGAAACTTGTCAATCAAAGCTAATGCTCGAATGACGGTAAGGTCATTAATTATTGTGATTTTTATACACTCGAAGTCAGTACAGAAATAGAAACAGAAAACTGAATCGTCCCATGATTTTAACATATATGAAAAAGATTATTTCCTAGTAGGAAATGGAGAAAGAAAATAAATTGAAAATGCTGTAAATAAAGATTTTGTGACACAAACGTCTTTGTACATGATGATTGATAAGCAAACTTTTAGAATTGTCAATTGGCATACACCCTCTCGTGCAGTAGCATATTTACCTACCTATAGGCTGAAAGGCCAGGGTGCGATTTTGTAAGTATCGCGCCTAGGGCAGTCGATGATGAGGATACCGTGGATAGAGAAGGTTAAAAATGAAGAGGTATTAGAATATGAGAACAGAGGACTCTATGGAAGTCAATAAGAAATAGGCGAGATAAGTTGGTAGAACACCTTCTCAGACATGTAGGTCTAGTCAGAGACATATTAGAGGCAGAAACAGGAGTTAGGAGGGGTAGAGGTAGACCTAGATTACATTACTGTTCGCAAATAGTTAAGGTTGTGGGTTGTTCTAGTTTTAGGGAAATGCGAAGATTAGCTCATGATAGGAAACAGTGGAGGTGCGTGTCCAATCAGTTTTAGGACTGACGACTTTATTATGATGATGGCGGCGGGTAACAAATATCTCTTTACTTTATTATAAAAAATAACAGTAAATATAGTTATACCTGATGAACGCACTCTAAATCGAATTACATCTTCATCTGAATTGGCTCAACCATACAATACTAATTTGCCTGGTAATCTGCCGAATTTCATAATTGAACGTATAAATTTTTGGGGATTCTTAACGAGTGTAGATATGGTCCTTAGCAATTATGTCAAAAAGTTAATGAAAGGGTCATTAGAAATATTAATCCGCATATTAATATCGCCTATGTAACAGTCCCGAATAAGTCCAAATGAAAACTTTTTCCATTTGAAGAAATGATGAAAGTAGCGGCGGTCAGTTTCAATAAATTAGCTTGAGACATCACTGAGCATAAATACGCCACTGCCCTCATGGCAAAACTTCTAACTTCATTAAGGAACAAATTTACATGGAAATAATACACGTGGAGCTTAAACTTGTTTATTAGAAAAGCATAAAATTAATGAAAAATTCAAGTCTATAACTATTTTTAGGTTAGGAGCCCTACCTTTTTGTGTGTTTGTATGTACAGGTCATCAATATAGTATTACCACTTAATAGTATAGTCACTCCATTTATTTCCTGTGAGTCATTTTTTAAATCAATTGGTAGGCTAAATGAAGTATGAAAAATTTCCCTCGTTACGCCATGTTTTTTAGGCTCCTCCCATTTCATATGTTCCATATGTTCAAGTAATTCTTTAGTAGTGAGGTAATAGTTTTTTTATTTTATGTCAAATATCAATTATACGTCATTTTAGTACATATAGGTAGGTACTGTAGACGATGAATTGTAGTAGGTACTGCTTATTTAATTAACTTTATGTCATGCCCTACTATTAAAGTGCCCTAAATGAGCAACAATGAAAATAAGTAGTTCTGAAATAGCATTTCTTTACTTGTTTTGTTTGCTTCAAAAATAGATGATTGATTACCGTAATCAACACTGATATTTACCAAACCCAGTAGAATTACCTCAGTACAGTAAAAGGGTAACCAA